GTAGCTACACTGTGAGATCAGTTCTTCATCTCATTTTTGCCTCTTTGCCCATTACCTGTTTCTTCAGCAATTACCCTTCATCTATTGCAGTTATATTTGTTACTTTCGAACTCCATCTATTGTCTTCTACATATTTTTCTACCACTACTTCCTCAGCTTAATTACGTATTTCTACAAGTACTTTTTTTGAACTTTTTTCAGTCACGGAGTTGAACAGACGATGGATACCTGAAACTCGGAGTGCAAAATATGACCGTCTTCACGCAATGCACTTTTACCCTGACGACAGACTGCTGCGACTGTGATATCTGCAATTGCTTCCGCGGTGATTCAGCTAACTTTCGGCTGAGGTAGGTGATAAGTAGTACGATGCATGCAACGATGAGGAAGCATACTGCCTTACTTGCTACGTACACTTCAGTCAAACAAGAGATCGAACAAAATTATCCGAGCTGCCATGTCTATTGTACCGTTTTGTTATTCGTGTTCTTAGAACACAGTGTCCCCTGAACGAAACCGTACTCGACAAAGTGGGAGTACGACTAACAGTAGACCAGAAAGCGTACATCTGTGAGGAAGTGCAGAAAAAGACGGTGAACATAATCAATTTTCACCTACTCATAGACTGAATGCTTCTGACAATGCTTTCTTTGTTTCTTTATTACGTTCATTGAAAAATGCCTCTTGGCCGACTCTTCTAAAGTCAGTAAATCGATACCAGTAATCTCTCTACATGCCGTTAACTTTCTCTCAGAACCCAGTGTAATGTCTCTCCGGTTCAGCGATGTTCGGTTCTTTTTGCAACATGCTTTTACCATTGTCACTTCAACTTATTGATTCAGGTACGACATCGCAGACTCTTGTTTCTGCTCTTATCCATTCACTTCCTTTTCTCATTTCTTCTTTTTCCCAACATACATACCTTCCACCCAGCTTCATGAATAGCATTAAGAATTAGGATTCACGTTTCGAATTCGTACGTTGGCACTGCGAACAAACACTGACACTGATCGAAGTAGAAGGACAGTTTCTCGGATAGGAACATTTTCAGTCCTCCAACCATATGGGTACATGCAAATAATACCAGAAATGGTTTAGCAGTAAATATTGTATCCTCGTGTTCAGATTAAGTGCCACCAACCAGCTTTATACCGTCTGATTTTACATACAGGATGCTACAAGGTGGAGCAAGCTGCCGGCACTATGACGATACACGCATCGCAAATGGCATTACTCAGCATTTTATACAACTGATTTCTTAAAAAAATAGGCAGTTCATTAACAACCTACACAGTGCAACATTATAACACGCAATCTATTGCTTCAATAGAATTACAATGATCCGAGGAATATCATAAAAGGCAATAAACTTGAAAGCAGTCAATGATTAAAACCAGCAATAGCACGACATGATGGAGATGAATCGCACGAAACCGGTTAAGGCATTAAAATAGATGTAGAATCGTGTAAATGAATTGCTGAAGTAGGCAAACATCTTACGGTTCCTTTAAGATCCTAGCCTAACAACGAAATAACCACCTGGAGCACCGTTTTTTGGTGCGTTCATTTTGAACTCATTTCAAATTTAAGCTGCAGAATGACAGCCGTGTAAATACATCATATGTTACTGGATTACCAAACAAAACAATTTTCTTAGTAGGCGGTTACTTTCTCCAAAAGCGCATTTCATAATTCCTTCTTATAGTTCTTAGGGAAGCCATTTAAGTAAACAAAGTTTCCATGGCTCCTTACAGTGAGAGATACAACTATGTCATTTTACTTGCCAAAGCAATATTCAGATTATTATTAATGACGCCTTAAGATGAGTACTCCTCATATCCTTTCGCAAGACGTCAAAAACTGAGTCGTA